GCTCCAATGGGAAGGTAACGGCGCTCCATGCAGTCATGCCAACCACATGACCTTGGAGATGTCTGTGGACAACGGCAGCCCTTCCGGGGTGCAGGGGTGAGCTCCTGCTGTTAGTCTCAGCTTCTGCCAACCGAGTAGTTCAAAAACATGCAAATGTGAGTAGATCAATAGGTACTGCTCTGGCAGGAAGGTAACGGTGCTCCATGCAGTCATGCCAACCACATGACCTTGGAGATGTCTGTGGACAACGGCAGCCCTTCCAGGGAGCAGGGTGAGCTCCTGCTGTTAGCTTCAGCTTCTGCCAACCGAGCAGTTCAAAAACATGCAAATGTGAGTAGATCGATAGGTATTGCTCCGGAGGGAAGATAACAGCGCTCCATGCAGTCATACCAACCACATGACCTTGGAGACATCTGTGGACAACACCAGCCCTTCTAGGGAGCAGGGGTGAACTCCTGCTGTTAGTCTCAGCTTCTGCCAAGCTAGCAGTTCAAAAACATGCAAATGTGAGTAGATCAATAGGAACTGCTCAGGTGGAAAGGTAACGATGCTCCATGCAGTCATGCCAACACATGACCTTGGAGACGTCTATGGACAACGCCAGCCCTTTGGCTTAGAAATGGAGATGAGCATCAACCCGCCGAGTAGGACATAACTATTTATTTATTTATTTACATCATTTATATGCTGCCCTTCTCACCCCAAAGGAGATTCAGAGCAGCTTACAAGTTATATGTGCATACACAATATTAGTATGATATATTACTATATTGTACTATACCACTATACTGCAACATTGTTAGTAATATTATATGTAATATAAAATATATAATTATTATATTGTATTATTATTATATTGTATTACAATATTATGATCAATATTATATGTGTATGCAATATATTATCATTATTAGCATAGGACAATATTAGTTTTATATGTATAACTATATTATACTGTATCACTATACCGCAACATTATTAGTAATATTAAATTTAATATATAATATACAGTTGTTATATCATATTATTAATATTATATTGTATTACTATACTAGACTTAATGTCAAGGGGAAACCTTTACCTTTTCCTTTTACCTAATTACAGTGCTTTTGGTTTTAATTCCCACATTGTATGGATTTTAGCGTTAGCTGCTTTGAGTCTGCTTTGAGGGAGAAAAAGCGGGATAACAACAACAACAACAACAATTGTTGTGGAATCTGAGCTGTTAGGCTCAAAAATAATCCTCACTTGAGGTGATTCCACCATAAATATAGCAGCGTACTAGAAGTAAACATCGTAACTAGCAAAAACTTACATGTGATGAGTTGGGATAGCCTTCTATTTCTTAGGATGGCACAGGGTTGCAGAGTCATAGCTTTAAGTTCAAAAATATTTATTGAAGTAAAAGGAATACATTCTAGATATAAAGGTCTTGTAGCTCACTAGCTTACCCAGTCTCATCTTTTAAGGGAGTAAAAAAGTCAAAAGTCAAAAAATCCATGCAGCTACATTTTGCCTAAAGAGAGAGGCAAAATGCATCCTCACTGGAAGGAAGCAAAGGCAGAAGTGACTGGAAAATGGTGAGTGGCCACATGACCAAGCCCAGGGCAATAAAAATACCCTTAAAAAGGAAATTCTCTCACAGAGATTCCATTGTTACATCATCAAAGCGGGAGGAGACAGTGGCAAAGAGGAGGAACAAAGACAAAGTCTTTTCTGTAAACATGCATAGGAATATAGGAAAGGAATCCCTCAGCCTAATCCTATCTCTAGTCTAGCTACACATTGAGGACTGGAGACTTGATGACACAAGACACTTGTGCAGTCCAGGGATGAAACCCAACAATAACAATTTAATTATGATTATTATAAGAATATACACCCTTGGCCTTACCTAAAGGTATTGTATGGTGCATTCTGGACTTAGCAGATCTGTAAGGAGAGAGGTGGCGATTCAAAGGAATCCAGGGAGTTGTGTCCAAAAAGCAGGTCATTTCCAAGCTAAGTATTTGACTAAGGGTTTTTCTGCAAAACGTAAGGAATGTCTCAATTTTGGAAAAGCTCTATACTCTTCAAACCCAAGAGCTTGACCTCTTCTGCTTTGCCCATGTCCAGCTCAAGGCATTTGCCCTGGATCTCAGTGGAGTTCCTCTGGAAGACCCCACAGACTTGGAGATCGTGGTCATGGACCAGAATGACAACCGCCCACTCTTCCGGCAGAAGGCCTTTACGGGGCGCGTGGTGGAAGGAGCAGCTCCAGGTGAGTGTCCCGATCCATAGCTTCTGGTCATCAATGCCAGGCCACTTCTGCATCTTCCGTTCCTTTGGGTCTCTCTAACCAGATGGAGATTGCATGGGCCTTCAAGTTGATCAGCCTATTGCGACCCCATTGACTTAATCGGGTTTCCTTGGGGAAAGACTCCCCAGAGCAGCTTTGACCCTTCCTCTGAAATAGAGCCAAAATGATCTGATATTTGCTCATTGCTTCCCATCCAAGTACTAACTAAGGCTGACCCTGCTTCGTTTCAGGCCACTTGTTGACTTATGGTTATCTCAGAAGTTTTCTAGGGTTTTATCCAACAAGGGATACTCAAAGATGGCTTTCATCCAGAATAGAACCCACGTCAACTGGTATTCATTTGTGGCCTCCCATCCAAGTCTTAACCTAAGCTTACCCTGCTTAGCTCCCAAGATTGGCAGCCATGATGTTCCCATTGGCCCTTTCCCTTTCCCCAGGTACCTTTGTGATGAAGGTGGAAGCCAGCGATGCCGATGACCCTGAGACGGACAACGCGGCCCTGAAATACTCCATCCTGGAGCCGAAAGCGAGAGATGTCTTCAGAATTGACGAGGCCTCTGGGGAAATTCAGACGGCAGAAGTTGCTCTTGACCGAGAGGTAGGAATTCACCCCAAATGACCCCTAAGGAATGAAACAGGAGCAAATCCAGGTGGGAGGCAGAGCTGAATGCGTGAAGAGAAATAATAATAATAATAATAATAATAATAATAATAATAATAATAGTAATAATAGTAATAATAATAATAATCTTTATCTCCCCAAAGGGACTCAGGGCGAATTCCAAACATAAAAGGCAAACATTCAATGCCTGAGTACAACAACAATACATCCATACGAACAAACTTTATACAACCCAACATATAAATACGTATTATAACTTAACAAACTGAAATTAAATAAAAAGTGCAGCTTGTTATAACAGATATGACAAAACATCAAATGGAAACAATAATTGTATTGTCGAAGGCTTTCATGGCCAGAATCACTGGGTTGTTGTAGGTTTTTTCGGGCTATGTGGCCATGTCCTAGAGGCATTCTCTCCTGACGTTTCGCCTGCATCTATGGCAAGCATCCTCAGAGGTAGTGAGGTCTGTTGGAACTAGGAAAAAGGGGTTTATATATCTGTGGAATGACCAGGGTGGGACAAAGGACTATTGTCCATTGGAGCTAGGTGTGAATGTTTCAACTGACCACCTTGATTAGCATTTGATGGCCTGGCAGTGCCTGGGTCAATCTTTTGTTGAGAGGTGATTAGATGTCCTTGTTTGTTTCCTCTCTGTTGTTTGCTGTTGTAATTTTAGAGTTTTTTTAATACTGGTAGCCAGATTTTGTTCATTTTCATGGTTTCCTCCTTTCTGTTGAAATTGTCCACATGCTTGTGTATTTCAAAGGCTTCTCTGTGTAGTCTGACATGGTGGTTGTGAGAGTGGTCCAGCATTTCTGTGTTCTCAAATAAAATGCTGTGTCCAGGTTGGTTCATCAGGTGCTCTGCTATGGCTGACTTCTCTGGTTGAAGTAGTCTGCAGTGCCTTTCATGTTCCTTGATGTGTGTTTGGGCAATGCTGCTGCGTTTGGTGGTCCCTCTGTAGACTTGTCCACAGCTGCATGGTATACGGTAGACTCCTGCAGAAGTGAGAGGATCCCTCTTGTCCTTTGCTGAACGTAGCATTTGTTGGATTTTCTTGGTGGGTCTGTAGATAGTTTGTATGTTGTGTTTCCTCAGCAGCTTCCCTATGCGGTCAGTGGTTCCCTTGATGTATGGCAAGAACACTTTTCCTCTGGGTGGATCTTTGTCTCTATTCTCGTGGCTTCTTCTCGGTCTTGCAGCTCTTCTGATGTCTGAGGTAGAGTCTCCATTGGCATGTAGAGCCCAGTTGAGGTGGTTCAGTTCATCTTGGAGGAGGTGGGCTTCACAGATTCTTTTTGCATGGTCTGCCAAGGCTTTAATGGTGCTTCTTTTTTGACTTGAGTGATGGTTGGAGTTTTTGAGTAGATATCTATCTGTGTGTGTGGGTTTTCTGTAAATGGTGTGACCCAATTGTTGATCTGGTTTGCAGATTACTAGGACATCTAGAAAAGGCAGTCTTCCTTCATTTTCTTTTTCCATGGTGAATTGGATGTTTGGGTGGATGCTGTTAAGATGGTCCAGGAACCTGTTGAGTTCTTCTTCTCCATGGCTCCAAATGGTGAAGGTGTCATCCACATATCTGAACCATATCGTGGGCTTTTTGGTTGCTGTTTCCAGGGCTTGTTCTTCAAAGTGTTCCATGTAGAAATTAGCTATGACAATACAGCATGAAAAACTCACAACAGCCAAGTGATTCCAACCATGAAAGCCTTCGGCAATACATTAAACTGGGTTGTTGTGAGTTTTCTAGGCTGTCTGGCCATGTTACGGAAGCATTCTCTCCTGACGTTTCACCTCCATCTATGGCAGGCATCCATAGAGGTTGTGAAGTCATGAAAGAACTGGAACATGGCCATACAGCCTGGAAAACTCACAGCAACACAAGCCCTGATTTTTACCTGTGAGGTATTATTTCTGATGTTTTTTTCATCATGAGGAATGTCCTTGTAGACTTTGGAGCTTCTCCATCTCCATTGTAGAATTAATGCAGTTGATCACCACTTGAATTGCTGTGGCTCAATCCTGTGGTTTGGTGAGGTACCTGCAATCTTTGGAAAAGAAGGCTAGGGCAGTTCAAAACTACTATGATCCCATAGCCTTGAGCCATGATAGTTCAAATGGTGCCAATCCAGATTCACTCTACAGTGGAGATGCATTCCCTTCAGGGCTCTTCCTTGCATTGTGACCGCTTTCCGTCTCTTTTCCATACAGGTGATAGGAGTGTATAACCTGACCCTTCAGGTGGCTGATATGTCTGGAGAGGGACTGGCCACCACCGCTGCGGCCGTCATCTACGTGGACGACATCAACGACAACCCCCCGGAGTTTGCAGAGGAAGAGGTGAGAAACCCAACAGCGGTGCCTCTTCTTTGCTTTCCTTTTGAGGATGATGGGCATCATTAATACTTTTTAAACATTGAAAAGATTCAGTGAGACAGAGTAGATCAAAGGCACTTTACAGTGAAAGAAAGTAGACTAGTTACATTGGTTACACAAACAAACAAAAAAGGGGAAACATTTATTTATTATTTATTTATATACAGTATTTATATTCCGCCCTTCTCACCCACAGGGGACTCAGGGCGGATTACAATGCACATATACATGGCAAACATTCAATGCCATTTAGACATACAACATATATAGACATTTAACATTCCAGCATTTCCAGCTTCATGAGGGTATGCTTGGGTCCGGCCACAGGGGGAGCTACCGCTTCACTGTCCGCTTGTGACACCGGGTCCTTTGATGGAGTACTTCCTCTTTCTTCTGCATGCTGCTGGAAGGTTTTATGGCATCGTAAATTAGTTAAATTAGCCTCCCCTCATAAAGTAAAGGTTAAGGTTTTTACCTGACATTAAGTCCAGTCATGACTCTGAGGGTTGATGCTCATCTCCATTTCTAAGCTGAAGAGCCAGCATTGTCCGTAGACATCTCCAAGGTCATGTGGCCAGCATGACTGCATGGAGTGCTGTTTCCTTTCCACCAGAGTGGTACCAATTGATTTATTCACATTTGCATGTTTTCGAACTGCTAGGTAGGCAGGAGCTGGGGCTGATAGCGGGGGCTCACACCGCTCCCCAGATTCGAACCTGCGATCTTTTGGTCAACAAGTTCATCAGCTCAGTACTTTAGCCCACTACACCACCGGGGGCTCCTGCCCCCACATAAAGTGGTATCTAAATTTCCTCCTTAACAGATGCAACTGTCTTTTGGGCTGCATAGGTCGACAGCAAGCTAGACTATTATTGGACTAGCTTCGAACTCATGACCTCTTGGTCAGTAGTAATTTAATGCTGCTAGCTACTACCTAGCTGCGCCACAGCCTTGTCCTCACATATACTCCAACATTCATTTATAATTCATTCATTCTTCACGTATACATTACCATCCCTCCTTCCTTCTCCTGCAAATCAGCCATTCTGTGTTACACCATCTTCTCCGTTCCTTGCACTCCAAGGCTGGGAATCACCTCTGTACTTAACAAACAATCCAGTTCAAGATAAAATAGTGAAACAGTTTATTGGAGACTGTGTATAAAAAGCACTCCAGCAAAATAGTGTAAAAATCAATGCCCCAAAAACCAGAATAATCCTTAGAGTTCAGAGTACATGAAATGCATCAAAAACCAGGAATAGCAGGTAAAGTCCAAGCAATAAACACAAGAAGGGGGCGGGAGTGGGAGCGGGGCCTCTCCAGATGAATGAAGAGATCGAGTGGGTTCGTAAACAGAAATGTGGTCACACAGGTAGGCGGGTCCCAAACCATTCAGGGCTTTGTAGGTAAGAACCTGCACCCTTGGAAGACTTGACTTGGCTCCAACGTTGTCTAGACTGAGGGAATACTCTACTGGCCTTTCTAATATGGACAGAAAGCCATGCTGTTGACCTTCCAAGGCTGATAAGGAAAGCTGCAGTTCCGGACATAAGGGCTTTATCATTATTAGTCGAACTGACCTTTGCACTGCTTCGGGAGATATCCTATGTTGACAGAACATTAATCTTCTATCTAACTGTTGCTCATTAGCTTGTCCACTTGGAGTTGTCTCCTCCTCCGTTGCATCTTCCTCCCCTGACTATGACCTTGCATCTCTAGGGAACTGCCTTTCTGGAATGTGGGACAGAGAGCTCTCATTCCCAAGGCTTAAAATCTCCTGATTCTCTTGATGATCCGCAGGCCCAGAATCCCCACTGTCATCATCAGGCTGCTTAACAGGCCCAGAATCCTAAGTGAGATCAGGTTCAGGTGCAATCAAAGACTGGACTACAACACTTTTGGAGAAGGAGGCAGGGGATCAGACTCTTCCTGTCTGCCACACTTTTGGATAGTAAAAAGGTCTCTTATATAGCAGTTTCCTGCTGTTGTTGTTCCAAAAAGTTGTAAATGACTGGCAGGTTGTTTTGTAGATAAACATGCTGACTCCATCAGTTCTGGACAGATGTTAGTTTTTCTTCCATAACAGATATTGGTTATCCTTGAAAAATCATTGTCTTTGACTATGTAAACATGTTGTTTACATAGTGTTGACTTAAAGAACCATTGTCTTTGACTATGATTCTGTTGACTTAAATAATCATTGTCTTTGACTATGTAAACATGTTGTTTCCAATGCAAGCAGTTCATGAATTCTTCACCTCCTTTTACAGTTTTCCAGGCCTCAGACTTAGGATGATGTCTTCAGTCTTGACACACCCCATTAATATACCTTTCATACAAATTCATTCAAACCACACATCATACTGATCACAGGGATTTGTGGGTGCCCTTCCCATCGGTGTTAACATGGCCCCTATTGTGCCTTGCAGTTCTCCATGGAGGTCCCCGAAAACCGTCGAGGTGCAGTGGTTGGCCGGGTGCCGGTCCAAGATAAGGACTTTCCAGGGTCTCCCAACTGGTTGGCCAAGTTCACCATTTTGGAAGGAGACCCCGAGGGGGCCTTTTCCATCCAGACTGACCCCCTCACCAACGATGGTGTCATTTCCTTGTCAAAGGTAAGGATGGCTCTCAAGGGGGTCCAGACTTTTTTAATATGCCCAAACCCATAGATGACCCATTTCTCTTTCTCCAGGCCTTGGATTACGAGGAGCGGAACCGCTTTGAGTTGCTCATCTCCGTCCAGAACCAAAGTCCGCTGGAGCTGACTGCTCCCAAAGCTGCCCGGTCTTTAGCCACGGCACGGGTGCGAGTGGTGGATGTCAATGAAGCCCCTTTCTTCAAAGAGAATCCATGGAAGGGGAGCGTGAGGGAAGGCGCACCCCCCGGCACACAGGTCACACTTTGCCACGCCAGTGATCCCGACACACACCAAGTTCAGGAACTCCAGTGAGTTTGGATGGATGAATGACTGTATTGACTAAAATCTAATGCTCACCTTTTTGGGCTTAATTACCTTCCCAAACTTAGGGTATGCAGTAGATTCATATAATATGGTAATCTTAGTTCTGAACCAAAGCCATAGGGGAAGCTTTGGGGTGCTTTGAATGTAATTTTCCAGCTTCTCGACAGGGAATTGGACTGGATGGCCCAACTCTATGTTTCTCTGATTCTAGGAGCACCTGGAGCTCCGCTTTGAGGGATCTCATCTCTCATTTCATTGCCATGGCTCAATGCTATGCAATCCTAGGATTTGTAGTTTGGTGAGGCATCAACATTCTTTGGCAGCCCCCTCGATCCCAAACGGCAGCCCCATGACTCCATAGCATTGAACCAAGGCAATTAAAGTGGATTCATTCTACAGCACTGATGCAGCCCAAGGTTTTGTTTTCCATTGCTGAAAGCTTTGGTGTCCTAAAACTTTTGTTCTTAAAGAAGGAATTGTAAGCATGCAGCCATTGCAATGCGCAGCTTTTTTTGCCACATTACAAAAAAATGCACTTTTTGGTACTGCACATTACATTTGGCAGCAAATACTTCCTTTGGAAGGCCCCCTCTTGGCACAGCGGGTTAAACAGCTGAGCTGCTGAACTTGCTGAACAAAAGGTTGACGGTTTGAATCTAGGGAGGGGGTGAGCTCCTGCTGTCATCCCCAGCTTTTGCCAATCTAGCAGCTCAAAAACATGCAAATGTGAGTAGATCAATAGGTATCTCTGTGGCGGGAAGGTAACAGCACTCCATGCAGTCCTGCTGACCACCTGACCATGGAGGTGTCTATGGACAACGTTGGTTCTTCGGCTTAGAAATGGAAATGAACACCAACCTGAGTCGGACATGACTGGCCTTTATGTCAGCAGAAAACTTTTACCTTTACCCTTAATTTTTTTAGTTTCAGGGTTTTGAAAATTGAGGTGTGCATTAGATTGGATGACGTATTAAACTCCAGAAATTATGGGTAGTCAGCGATGCAGAAGCTAACAAGGCCAATGCGATTCCAAGCTGGATCAATGGGAGTATCGTATTGGGATTTATGGAAATCATATTCCCACTTTATTCTGCTTTGGCCAGACCTCTTTTTCTGGAATAAGACTATTACCAGAGCAATTCAAGAGGGATGTGGACATGGTGGAAGGGCAAGGTCTGGAAGCCATACATATCATGGAGGACCTTCTTGAAGGCCTTGCTGAAATCATCATCTTTATCCATTATGTGAACAACAGAATAGAAGGCATGCCGATCAATTGGCAGGTGACATCAAATTGGGAGGGAGAACTACAATACCCTGGAGGACAGGTTCTTTTGACAGGATCCAAAATGACCTTAAACAGATGAGAGAGCAGATTGACCAAAACTAACCAAATGTATTTCAAGAGGGAGAAAAGTATAGTACAGTACTATTAAAAATGAATTGCACAAATATAGCATAAATGATGTCCTGGCTTGGAAAGCGTTCATGTGAAAGAAAATCGGAGTCTTAGCAGACCACTAGCTGAGTATGAGCTAAGAGTGTGATGCAGCAGCTAAAAAAGCAAAAGTGGTTCTAGGCTGCATCCATAGGAATCTGATGTCCAGATTAAGGGAAGAGCTGTTTGATGGTGGATTATGCTGTCTGTGTGGAAATACGAGGGTTGTGTGGAAAGTAAGGTGACAAGGCACGTAGCTCTTGCAGGAAATTTTCTTGGGGAAAGTTGGTATCACTGCCATGTAGCAGGAAGCCAGCGGAAGCAAACGAGCAGTGCTAGTCGTCAGTAGCTCATCGACTGGCATTGTGGTGAAGGTTAAAGATGAGCGTCCTTATTCAGTTTCCCTCCAAGTGCAAAGATCACCCTGTAATACGCTATATAAATGCTAAGGGAGTGAACGCCGTGGTGAAATCATTTCAGTTTACGGAGAGGACGTAATGTCAAGACAGTACTGTTGCAACCCAGAGCAGGAAACTGGGTCAAGTGTGGTGGACAACAATCCACCACACTTGACTTCAGGAAAACAATCCTTTTTTATTGATGAAAGATGAATACAAAATAGAAGAAATATGCAAAGGTAAAATCAGGAACAAGAAATGTCCACAAAAAAGATCATGAAATCCACAGCAAAACTGCTGAATCCTGTAACCTGTAACCAATCCATTAACCGTACTTGGAACAACTAGAAAACCTCCGAGGAACAAGGCCACTTGAATCAGGAGACCTGGAAAAGCTGGCACATGAATCTGGAACGATGCCTGGTCTGAAGCTGCATTCAGGCCAGGCATATTTAAGGCCGAGAAATCTATTGCGAGACATGCCTGAAGATTTTGTTTGCATTTGTTTCAATCTGGCTGACCTACATAAACTTTGTGCTTCACCCCGGCTCTGCCAAATCTGCCCCCGCCTATCCTCATTAGGGAGACCAGGTGTCAGATTCTCTGGAGAACTAAGACTGGGAGGAAAAGGGAGTGAAACATCTCCACTCGGCTCGGAATGCATGTTCTCATGGGAATTCTGACTTTCACTTTCCAAGGCTGTAGGATTTTCACTACTCAAACCATCATCATTTAAATTGGCCTCAGAATTCACATTGACATCTACATTGGCATCAGGAAATACAATCAGAGAATCAGGTTCAGGTTCACACACAGGCTGAACCCCAACAGGTACGGAATATATTGAGACACCATGAAGAAACTTTGCAGAGCCATCCAAAACAAATGCCGTGAGATGCTGACGGCAGGATGCAATTTCCTTCATGACAATGCGTCCCCGCACACCTCTCATGCAGCACAAGAGCTGTTGACTTCCTTTGGTTGGGATGTTTTAAGCCACCCCTCTCACAGCCTTGATTTCACACCCAGTGACTGTCATCTGTTCACTAAATTGAAGGAATGCCTGGGTGGAAAACACTTTTCCGACGACGACGAGGTGAATATTGAAGTGATGAACTGGCTGAAAAAGGTGGAGGGAAACTCCTATGACATAGGCATCAAAAATTCATTGCACAGATAACAGAATGTATTGAACTTGGATGTTGATCATGTGGAAAATAATGTAATCTCTATGCTACAATCCATGTAAATTTCATTAATATATATTCATTCTTGGTATTTAAAAAAAATCCTGTAACCTTACTTTCCAGATAACCCTCGCATTTGATTTGGCTAATTTGAGAGGCAAGCACACTCCGCATTCACTGAAATCATACTTAAAAATATTTTTCTTCTTCTTCCATCCCAGGTACTCTCTGGCCTCAGATCAGGACAGTTGGTTGGAAGTGGACCCTGAATCTGGTCTGGTGCAAACCAGACTGACGGTGCCCCCAAGAGCCATGTTTCCCGGAGGCGGGTATGCTGTGCACATCCTAGCCACTGATAATGGTGAGGAAGCTGGACAGGGACATGGGGATCCTGGCCCTTTAAGAGAGTCAAATTGCATTTAATCTACAGGCATTGGTCAACTTCGACCCTCCCTCCAGGTGTTTTGGACTTCAACTCCCACAATTCCTAACAGCCTACCGGCTGTTAGGAATTGTGGGAGTTGAAGTCCAAAACACCTGGAGGGCCCAAGTTTGCCCATGCCCAATCTAGTCCACTAAGACTCCTAGTTCCATGAACTGTTCTCAAGACAAGTCTATAGCACTGTATTTTAATTTTATTGCCCAACAATGCTAATCATGTGAGTTGCCCCTAACCATGGCTCCCTTGATCTTGATAGACTGCCTCCTTCTCCATAGGGAGCCCTCCACTGACGGCCACGGCCACTTTGTCCATTGAGGTCTTAGAGGTGAATGACCATGCGCCCTTCCTGCTCCCTGTGGCCCGAGAGCTGTGCAGCCGGGGGGACGGCTTGCTCTTGACCGCCACTGACGAAGACCTGGCTCCGCACGCTGAGCCCTTTTCTTTCCGACTCGGCCCCACACCGATGGCCGGCAACTGGACTCTCAACCGCACCAATGGTAAGGATTTAGGGAGAAAATGGGGGCTCCTTTTTGCCCCCTAAGAATTTCATTGCATATGGACGGCAATAATAATAATAATAATAATAATAATAATAATAATAATAATAATGACTCTGGCACAAGCCAGTCAAGGTGGTCCCAATGGTGATCGGCACACTGGGTGTAGTGCCTAAAGACCTTGGCCTGCACTTAAACACTGACAAAATTATCATCTGTCAGCTGCAAAAAGCCACCCTACTGGGATCTGCACACATTATTCACCAATACATCACACAATCCTAGACACTTCGGCAATGTCCGACGTGTGATCCAATTCAACAGCCAGCAGAGTGTCTGCTTGTTGTGTTTCTAATAATAATAATAATAATAATAATAATAATAATATACTTTATTTATATTCCGCTCTATCTCTCTGAGGAGACTCAGGGCGGATGATAGTACACATATACGGCAAACATTCAATGTTGTTATAGAATTAACAAAGACAGTACATAAACAAAGGCGACCAATTGGGCAATGGTAACTCAGTCTTGATACATACGGCTTGGGGTTGGCATCTATTTTCATCTATGCTGACGATCGTGCCATCATCACTCAATCAGGGAACTTTGAAATGGTTGAACAGGTGCTCTTACTGCCTATTACAGGGAAAACCAGCTGATCCCTAACCCATCGAAAACACAGACATGTGTTTTTCACCTTAAGAACAGACAAGCATCCCGAGCTCTGAGGATTACCTGGGAAGGAATCCCACTGGAGCATTGCAGCACACCCAAACACCTGGGAGTCACTCTGACCATGATCTGACTTACAAGAAGCACTGCTTGTATATAAAGCAAAAAGTGGGTGCTAGAAACAATATCATACGAAAGCTGACTGGCACAACCTGGGGATCACAACCAGACACAATGAAGACATCTGCCCTTGCGTTATGCTACTCTGTTGCTGAATACGCATGTCTAGTGTGGAATACATCACACCATGTTAAAGCAATGGATGCAGCTCTTAATGAGACATGCTGCATTATCACAGGACATCTACGCCCCATATCAGTGGATAAATTACACTGTTTAGCTAGTATCGCACCACCTGACATCCACCGGGAAATAGCATCCAGCAATGAAAGGACCAAGGCAGTGACATCTTTGGCCCATCCTCTATTTGGATAGCAGCCAGCATGCCAATGCCTTAAATCAAGAAGCTACAGAGATTCTCGCAGGAACACCTCAGCAAACAAGAGTCCAAAAGTGGCAGGCTAATACCCGGAACCTCAATCAGTGGCTGAGACTGGATGAGGGACTCCCTCCTGGACACACAGAAGAGTGGACGACCTGGAAGGCGGCGAACAGACTGTGCTCTGGCACCACGAGATGCAGAGCTAACCTTAAGAAATCGGGTCTCAAGGTGGAGTCCACAACATGCAAGTGCGGAGAAGAGCAAACCACAGACCACCTACTACAATCCAACCTGAGTCCTGCCACATGCACAGTGGAGGACCGTCTCACAGTGACACCAGAGGCACTCCAAGTGGCCAGCTTCTGGTCAAAGGACGTTTAGCACCATGCCAAGTTTTGTAAAACTTTGTGTTTTTAAAATACATTTTAAGGGTACCCTCAACTTGCTTCTGATACAATAAATATAAATAAATAGTCCAAAACACCTGGAGCCCCAAAGTTTGCCTTTGTCTGATCTGGATGGTCCTAGTCTTAGAGGGACCATGGTTAATAATAATAATAATAATATAAAATAAATAATTAATCTGACGTGTGATCCAATACAACAGTCAGCGGAGTCCCACCCTGGTCTTTCCACAGATATATAAACCCATTTTCCTACTTCCAACAGACCTCACTAAGTCTGAGGATGCTTGCCATAGATGCAGGCGAAACGTCAGGAGAAAATGCCTCTAGAACATGGCCCTATAGCCCAGAAAACCTACAACAACCCAGTGATTCTGGCCACGAAAGCCTTCGGCAATACAGTCAGCAGGGTGTCTGCTGTGGACTCTTCTTGTTGTGTTTATAATAATAACTAGCCATCCCCTGCCACGCGTTGCTGTGGGCCACATGAGGGTTGTGTGTGGGAAATTTGGCCCAATTCTAGCGTTGGTGGGATTCAGAATGCTCTGTGATTGTAGGTGAACTATAAATCCCAGCAACTTCAACTCCCAAATGTCAAGATTCTATTTTCCCCAAATTCTACCAGTGTTCACATTTGGGCATACTGAGTATTTGTGCCAAGTTTGGTCCAGATCCATCATTGTTTGAGTCTACAGTGATCTCTGGATGTAGGTGAACTACAACTCCAAAAGCAAAAGACACTGTCCACCAAACCCTTCCAGTATTTTCTGTTGGTCATGGGAGAACTGTGTGCCAAGTTTGGTTCAATTCCATCATTGGTGGGGTTCAGAATGCTCTTTGATTGTAGGTGAACTATACATTCCAGCAACTACAACTCCCAAATGACAAAATCAATTCTTTTGAGTGAAGGACATACATTGGGTTGTTAGGTGTCTTGTGTCCAAATTTGGTGTCAATTCGTCCAGTGGTTTTTGAGTTTTGTTAATCCCACAAACGAACATTACATTTTTATTTATATAGATGATAATAATAATAATAATAATAATAATAATAATAATACCCCATTAAAACCTATCCACCTGGCTTTTGTGCTTCTGAGTCTCCATGTTGTCTGTGGACATATAGCAACCCAATGACTTTCTTTGCCTGTTTTAGGGACCCACGTCCTGCTGCGGCCCCAAGGAGAGGTCCCCGAAGGCCTCCACGTGGTCCCTCTACTACTCAGTGACTCAGGGGACCCTCCTCTGGAGCGGGAGCAGCTCCTCAACGTTTCCGTCTGTGAATGCGACGAGTGGGGCTCCTGCCGGACTCAAGTGGCGGCCGTGGCGGGAGCGGTGGCCGGGCTAAGCTTCGGGGCCCTGATGGTCATCCTGAGCAGCGCCGTCCTCCTCCTGTGTGAGTGGAGCCCCAAAACCAGACTTCTGTTTCATTCCTGGAACCATACATTGGAAGGCCATCCAGTCCACCCACATTCTGCCAGGCAGGGAGACACTATTCAGTCCTATCCTTCTGCTTCTTAAAAGCCTCCAGAGAAGGAGACTCCACCAGACTCCAAGGCAGTCTATATTCCACTAGAGTTCGAAGAGACCCCAAAGACCATCTAGTCCACCCCTTCTGACACATAGGAAGACACTATCCAATCCCTCTCGATGGATTTCCATCCAGCCTCTGCTTTAAAACCTCCAAGAAGGAGACTCCACTGGATTCTCAGTAGTCTGTATTCCACTAGAGTTCAGAAGGATCCCAAGGGCCATGTAGTCCACTCCCTCTGCCACAAAGGAAAACACTATCCAATCCCTCCCAATCGATGGCCACCCAGCTTCTGCTTAAAAACTTCCAGAGATGGAAATTCCACCAGACTCCAACACAATCTATATTTCACTAGAGTTAAAAGGCACCCCAAGGGCCATCTAGTTCAATGTCATTCTTCTAGGCAGGAAGACACTGTCCAATCTCTCTCAACAGATAGCCATCCAGCCTCTGCTTACAAACCTCAAGAGAAGGAAACTCTAATGGATTCTTAGGTAGTCCATATTCTACTAGAGTTAAAAGGCACTCCAAGGGTCATCCAGTCCAATGCTATTATTCCAGGTAGGATGACACAATCAAAGCCCTCCCAATAGATGGCCATCCAGCCTCTGCTTTAAAACCACCAGATTCCACCAGACTCCAAGGCAGTCTATATGTCACCAGAGTTCAAAGGGACTCCCAAGGGCCATCTAGTCCACCCCCTCTGCCACATAGGAAGACACTATCCAATCCCTCCCGACAGATGGCCATCCAGCCTCTGCCTAAAAACCACGCAAGAAGGAGACTCCATCAGACTTCAAGGCAGGATATATTCCACTCGAGTTGGAAGGGACCCCAAAGGCCATCTTTGGACCGGAGGGGGGTGGGGGATGACACAATCAAAGCCCTCCCAATAGATGGCAACCCATCCTTTGCTGAAAAACCTCCAGAGAATGAGACTACCAGACTCCAAGACAGTCTATATTAGTTAGAAGGGACCCCCAAAGGCCATCCAGTCCAGCCCCCTTTTTGCCAGGCAGGGCGACACAATCAAAGTCCTCCCAATAGATGGACATCCTTCCTTTACTGAAAAACCTCCAAAGAAGGGGATTTCACCAGACTTCAAGGCAGTCTATCTTAGTTAGAAGGGACCCCAAATGCCATCCAGTCCAGCCCCCTTTTTGCCAGGCAGGATGACACAATCAAACTTCTCCCAATAGATGGCCATCCATTCTTTGCTGAAAAACCTCCAGCGAAGGGGACTCCACCAGACTCGAAGTCAGTCTATCTTAGTTAGAAGGGACCCCCAAAGGCCATCCAGTCCAGCCCCCTTTTTGCCAAGCAGGACAACACAATCAAAGTCCTCCCAATAGATGGCCATTCAGCTTCTGCTGAAAAACCTCTAGAGAAGGAGACACCACCGGACTCCAAAGCTATGGACCATATCCCGTATTGATAAATTCTCTAACAGTTTTCGACATACCAGAAATACCATAAGGCTTTTCTTGGGCAGGTTCTCGTTTTTGTCTAAAGTACTGCAGTCCTCAGCCAACTTTGGCCCTCCAGGTGTTTTGGACTTCAACTCCCACCATTCCTAACAGCCTCAGGCCCTTTCCTTTTCCACCTCAGCCGCTTAAGCGGCTGAGGTGGAAAAGGAAGGGGCCTGAGGCTGTTAGGAATGGTGGGAGTTGAAGTCCAAAACACCTGGAGGGCCAAAATTGGCCCATACCTGCTTTACTGCCTTTTGACATAATGGCCAGAATGGAAAGCAACTGGAGGACAACTGACCGTATTGAAGTGGCTCTTATGGTTTCATCCCCTTCTCACCTGTCAGGTTTGGTGTTGCTGGTGGCCACGTGGGAGCACTTTCGGCGGCAGGCCTTCCGGAAGGGCCTTTTCAGGGGCTCCCAGGATGACCTGCGGGACAACATTCTCAATTACAACGAACAGGGAGGCGGAGAAGAGGACCAGGTGAGTCTCATCACTTGGGGGGCCTTTAGTGCAAGGAAATAGCTCAAAATGCAGAACCCCCCTCCAAAAAGTTGGTGGGCGGTTGGAGACCCCATTGAGACTGTTGGAGACCCCATTGAGACTGCAACATTTTGGTTGTAAGGTCACTATTCCTTTTTTTTTTTTTTGGAAATATATTTATTTAATTTTTAAAAAATACATGATTATAATAATAATCATGTAAGGTCAATATTCCTTTGGACTTTGTAACTAGTATTCTGTTTTCCAAAGATTGGGAACCCCTTACAGACTTATGTTTTCTCTGATATTCCCCCCAAAAAACCCCAAAAGCAAACCCTGATCCCATTATGCAGGGCTTCAAAATATTCCCCAAAGATCCAAAATGCAAACCCTGATCCCTTTATCCACATCTTGAAAATATTCGAAGAAAACTCCCAAAAGCCAACTGCTGTTTTGCCATTTTATCTAAGGGTTGCCGTTGAATATGCCGTTGGATATAATGGAAATGAAGCTTTCTGGAAAACCTTCCAATGAGAATGATAATTTTCTTTTTTGGAAAGGCTGTCCATTTGAGGGTCCTTCTCCTCCCCATAGAGCAGTATTTCTCAACTTGGGGTCGGGACACCTGAGGGGTCGCAAGAGGGGTCGCCAAAGACCATCAGAAAACACAGTATTTTCTGCTTGTCATGGGGGTTCTGTGTGGAAAATTTGGCCCAATTCTATCGTTGGTGAGGTTCAGAATGCTCTTTGGTTGTAGGTGAACTATAAATCCCAACAACAACTCCCAAATGTCAATGTCTATTTTCCCCAAACGCTACCAGTGTTCACGTTTGGCCATACTGAGTATTCGTGACAAGTTTGGTCCAGATCTATCATTGTTTGAGTCCACAGTACTCCCTGGATGTATGTGAACTACAACTCCAAAACTCAAAGGTCAATGCCCACCAAACCCTTCCAGTATTTTCTGTTGGTCATGTGAGTTCTGTGGGCCAAGTTTGGTTCAATTCTATCTTTGGTGGAGATCAGAATGCTCTTTGATTGTAGGCGAACTATACATCCCAGCAACTACAACTCCCAAACATCAAAGTCTATTTTCCCCAAACTCCATCAGTGTTCACATTTGGGCATATTGTGTATTCATGTAGAGTTTGATCCAGATCCATCATAGTTAGAGTCCATAGCGCTCTCTGGATGCAGGTGAACTACAACTCCAAAACTCAAAGGTCAATGCCCACCAAACCTTTCCCGTATTTTCTGTTGGTCATGTGAGTTCTGTGGGCCAAGTTTGGTTCAATTCCATTGTTGGTGGAGTTCAGAATGCTCTTTGGTTGTAGATGAACTATACATCCCAGCAACTACAACTCCCAAATCACAAAATCAACCCCAACCCCAACCCCACCAGTAGTCAAATTTGGGCGTATCGGGTATTTGTGCCAAATTTGGTCCAGTAAATGAAAATACAACCTGCATATCAAACATTTACATTAGGATTCATAAATAGCAAAATGACAGTTAAGAAGTGGCAACGAAAATAATGTTATGTTTGGGGGTCACCACCACATGAGGAACTGTATTAAGTGGTTGTAGCATTAGGAAACGCTAATCTAGACACTATCCTCCTATAGACACAGCCTAGAATCACATTAGCCTTTTTAGCCACTGTATGACACTGGATTAGGAAGGTTGACTACCACTGACCTAGAGCCTTTCTGTTCATTCTGCCCCCTTTCCTGCCCTTAGGATGCCTATGACCTCAACCAGCTCCGCAACCCGGATCTCTTTCCGCCTCCATCGCCTTTGGGGAAGCCCTTGCGCAGGAGGGATGCCCCTTACGCCTTCGCCGTGCCTCCGTTTCCCCGCCGGATGCCCTCCTGCCCTTCTGATATTGAGGACTTCATCAACGAGGTACCCAAAAGATCAGAGATTTCTTCGGGGGAGAAGGAAAAAATGAGAGTGCTCAGTGATGGGGCCTCTTCCCAGTCTAGGGGTCTATTTTAATGATAGAATTCCAGAGTTGGAAGGAAGGACAACATAATCACATTGGCTTTTTAAGCTGCTGCATCAGACCCTTGGCTTATGTAAACATAAGAGACTTCCAAAGGCCATCCAGTCCAACCCTGTTCCACCAGGCAGTAAAAGATAATCACATTGGCTTTTTAAGCTGCTGCATCACACTATTGCCTCATGTTTAGTTGGTGGAAGAGACCCCCAAAGGCTATCCAGCCCAACAGTATTCTGTCAGGTAGGAAAACACAATCATGTTGGCTTTTTAAAGCTACTCCATCAGACCCTTGGCTCATGTTTATTTATTTAATTATTTATTTGCGACATTTATATGCCGCCCTTCTCACCCCGAAGGGGACTCGGAGCAGCTCACTCTGTATACATACATACATACATACATATATACATACATATATATATACATATATATATATATATATATATATATATATATATATATATATATTGTTGTTGTTGTTCATTCGTTCAGTCGTCTCCGACTCTTCGTGACCTCATGGACCAGCCCACGCCAGAGCTCCCTGTCGGCCGTCACCACCCCCAGCTCCCTCAAGGTCAGTCCAGTCACTTCAAGGATGCCATCCATCCATCTTGCCCTTGGTCGGCCCCTCTTCCTTTTGCCTTCCACTTTCCCCAGCATAACTGTCTTCTCTAGGCTTTGCTGTATATATATATACACACACACACACATATATATATACATATACATACACACACACACACACACACACGATATTATATTATTAGCATAGTACAGTATCAGTATTAAATATTACTATATTGTACTAGACCATTATATTATAATATTAGTAATAATATAAATATAATATTATAATATATATAATATTATTATATCATATTATTATTAGTATTAGTATTATATTGCATTACATTATAATATTATAAATATTATATGTATATACAATATATTACATTACATTACACTACACTCTTGGCTCATGTTTAGCTGGTGGAAGAGACCTCCAAAGGCCATCCCGTCCGCCCTTCTCACCCCGATGCCGCCCTTCTCACCCCAATGGGCTCACAAGATATATATATATATATATATATACACACACATACACACATACATACATACATATACATACAATATATTATATTATTAGCATATATAGCAATATAATGGTATAGTACAATATAGTAACATTTAACACTGATATTGTACTATACCATTATATTGTAATATTAGTAATATTACATGTAGTATAAATATATAATTACAATATCATATTACTATTAGTAGTAGCATCATATTGCATTACATTATAATGTTATAAATATTATATGTATATGTATATACAATATATTATATTATACTACATGATATTATACTCTTGGCTCATATTTAGCTGATGGAAGAGACCTCCAAAGGCCATCCAGTCTAACCCTATTCCTTCAGGCAAGAAAACATAATTACATTGGCTTTTTAAGCTGCTGTATGACAACGTTGGCTCATGTTCAGCTGGCAGAAGAGACCCCCAAAGGCCATCCAGTTCAACCCTATTCTGTCAGGCAGGAAACCATAACAACATTGGCTTTTTAAGATGCTGTATGATACGGTTGGCTCATGTTTAACTGGAGGAAGAGACCTCCAAAGGTCGTCCAGTCTAACCCTACTTCACCAGGCAGGAAAACATAATTACACTGCTTTTAAAGCGGCTGTCCAATGCTATTCTGTCAGGCAGGAAAATATAATCACATTGGGTTTTTAAGCAGCTGCATCACATCATTGGCTCATGTTTCACTGGAGGAAGGGACCCCCAAAGGCCATCCAGTCTATCCTGCTTTCACCACAGAGATACCCGAACAATAAATGAGATCTGGGTTCCCTGCCACACTCTGATGATCGTGAGAGAGAATTCAAAGTAGGCCTGATGGGCAGCCACCAGAACAGCCTTTATGGGTGTTTCTTGTTGTCTCTTTGTCCATTCTCAGGGCCTGGAGGCGGCCGACTCAGACCCCAGCATCCCCCCTTACGACACGGCACTCATCTACGACTTTGAAGGGGACGGATCGGCCGGAGGCTCCCTCAGCTCCATCCTCTCGAGCTTGGGCGATGAGGACCAGGACTACGACTACCTCAACGACTGGGGGCCTCGCTTCCAGCGCCTGGCGGAGCTCTATGGCAATTAGGGGGGCCCAAAGGGCTGGAAGGCAAGGGAGAGGAGGCTGACCAAGATAGACTCTGCACTCTCACAACTGGACATTTCGCACCCAGCTCCCTTTTTGGTTTTCAGCCCAAATTGGTACCTTTCCCCATTGCAGCAGCCATTACAGGCAGGTGAGCCTTCCGTCGGTTCCTACAAAAACAAGTGTATCAAGACCTCCCCGAAATGGGTCACAACACTGACATATGGGCTAGAAAGACTGAGAAACCTGACCCATTTCCTGGAAGACAGATGACCCGGACCCTTGGAGGGCAAGGGAAGGTGATGTCAAACCAGTGAGCTCCGCAGCACAGGATTTGCTGGGAGGAAAAAAGGTTTGCTTTGCTTTCTGCTGAGGCTGAGAGAGTGTGACTCAAACAAGGCCACACTCTCTCAGGCATCTATGGGACTTCATAGGTACACAGGCAAGGAGACCATTGACATTTATGGGGCTTCATAGGACTATTGGTGTCTATGGGGATTCATAGACATAATGTTAAGGAGGTCATTGGCATCTATGGGTGTTCATAGGACCATTGATGTCTATGGGGGTTCATAGGCATGTTGGAAAGGCAACCATTGGTGTCTGTGAAAGCCCATTGGTCATGAGGCCATTGATGTCTATGGTAGTTCATAAGACCATTGGCACCTATGGGGATTCCTGGGTGCACTGCTAAGGAGGCCATTGGCGTCTATGGATGTTCATAGGACCATTGCCATCTATGGGGGTTTAGGCATGTTGGAAAGGAGGCCATTGGTGTCTATGGTTGCTCATGAGCCCATTGGTCATGAGGTCATTGATGTCTATGGCAGTTTATAGGACCATTGGCGCCTATGGGGATTCCTGGGTGCACTGCCAAGGAGGCCATTGGTGTCTATGGGTGTTCATAGGAACATTGGCGTTTATGGGGGTTCATAGGCGTGTTGGAAAGGAGGCCATTGGTATCTATGGGTGCTCATCAGCCCATTGGTCATGAAGCCATTGATGTCTATGGCAGTTCATAGGACCATTGGCGCCTATTGGGATTCCTGAGTGCATTGCCAAGGAGGCCATTGGCATCTATGGATGTTAATACCATTAGTATCTATGCGGGTCCATAGTCATATTGGAAAGGAGGCCATTGGCATCTATATGTGTTCACAAGCCCATTGGTCATGAGGGCATTGGCGTCTATGACTGTTCATAGAATCATTGGTGTCTATGGGTTTTTTTAGGTACAATGTGCCAAAGAGATGCATTGGCGTCTATGGGTGCTCACTGGCACATTGGGCAGGAACGAATTGGCATCTATGGGTGTGTATAGAACCATTAGAATTACCAAGGAGGCCATTGGCATCTATGGGAGCCCATTGGGAGGCCACTGGAGTCTATGGGGGTTCATAGGACCATTGGCTTCTATGAGGGTTCGAAGGGTCATCTGGAGAGAGGCACAACCAAAGTCGGCGAAAGAAAGAGCCACTGAATTACAAAGGTGGCCCACAATTTTATTCAGAGGCTACTATACGAGTGGCACCAGAGTCCAAAAGATACAGAATCTGACCACTTTTTCCCTGTAAAAGGCAAAAGAAATGGAGGTTGAACAAGGGGGAAGTGTGGGTCTGTGGCTCCTGTGGACACCTCTTGGGATCAGTGACCCCCAAAATCCCCTTCCCTTGCCCCCGTTTGCAGGGCTTTCTTTCTTTTCTGAGTGCCCCGTGGTCCCATCAGGTCCGCTGGCTTCTACAACTCCTGCTTGGGGACCAGCTCTGAGGGCACGGCTGGCCGACCGCTTCCGAGCTGCATTTTTTGTGTGGCCGTGACCAGCCGGGCATAGCTCTCAGGGCCGTAGGGGTGGTGGTGGTGCTCCCCGGAGCGGGTTGAGAGCAACGGCAAGTAGTCCTGTCGCCCGGAGCGGCGCCTGGGCCGGAAGAGCGGTGGCCGGCGTTGTTCCTCTCCGTCCCGCAAGGAGTCCGGCAGGGGCTTCAAGGTGGTCTCCGGCAGGAGCATGATGCTGAGGACAGAGAGGATGGCGAAGGAGGCGAAGACCACGTGGTGCAGGAAGAAGCCCCGGCTGTCGTGGATGTCCAGCAGTGGAGTGGACAGCGAGCCCACCGCTCCAGCCGCCAGAATCAGGCCCAGCCCGGCCCCCCTGCGAAAAAGGGGAAAAGGAAGGGGTAAGATTCGAACTCAGGACAACCAAGAGGTGGCTGTCTGGGGGTCAAACCCTGCAGGCTAGGCAAAGCAGGGAAGGAGACCCCTTTTCCTCTTAAAAGACTCTACAACTCTTCCAAACATTTTGTAGGGGGAAACTACAACTCCCACAAACTAGGGAAACCATAAAGGCCCTTCCAAAGCTGGCAATGTCCCTTTTATTTGTATGCTTCCTCCAACTTCAGTGCCTTAGACTTTCCGATCTGCTAACCTATCAAAGGAAGAAATGTGTCTCTCTTTGTCCTGATCCGGAGTTTTCTAGAGAAGAAATTACCTCACAGACAGACAGGAAGGGCTTTATTTCTTAAAGCATATAGTACGGTTGCAAGCAAAGTTCCATCTGACAGTTGGCTTCCATCTCACTTTGGCCCTCCCCTTCACAGCCCCGGTTCTATGGAAACCCTCTCAATTGAGCTACAGGCCAAGGCATGGCCTACCTTCATGGTTCCCCACAACACCAGGAAAGGAGGTCATGACATATCTCCCCACTTAAAAAAACAAAAACCAGTGAAATCGCAAAACAAAAAGAAAATTAAGAACATGAACTGAAATCCAAGTCATTGTACATATACTTTGACAGGTGCCTCACCATGGCTTAACTAAGTAATTTTGATGGAACGCTGCCTGCGCTCATTCTGGCTGAGCAAAATGTTTCCATCTAAACAAATACCGAGTCCTAGAGTCCAGAATTTATTTCACCTCAAAATGATTTTGCCCATCCACTAGAATAGGATCGGGGATACTTCCCTCCGGCCCTGCCATTCCTTGCAGGCTGGTTTGATAAGATTGCAATGAAAGACTGGATGTGTTTGTTTTAAGCTATGAGAACATTTGGAGCCATACTGTGACTTTCCCCATATCTCTAATATGGGGAAAGGCCCAACAAATTTAGGGGGCCAGTTGTTTTTTAAGAGGGCTGTACAGTTTTCAGAAATTATTCAGCTTTTCCCCGCTTCTGGTCCCTAGCTTCGGCTCAAGCCAGAGAAGCCAGTTTTAAACCAGAAAAGGAAGGAATTTCCTGGCCTCGGCTCAAGCCAGAGAAGCTGGTTTTAAAGCCAGAGAAGCCAGTTTTAAACCAAAAAGGAAGGAATTTCCTAGCCTCAAGCCAGAGAAGCCAATTTTAAAGCCAGAGAAGCCAGTTTTAAACCAGAGAAGGAAGGAATTTCCTGGCCTTTGCTCAAGCCAGAGAAGCCAATTTTAAAGCCAGAGAAGCCAGTTTTAAACCAGAGAAGGAAGGAATTTCCTGGCCTCAGCTCAAGCCAGGAGAAGCCAGTTTTAAACCAGAGAAGGAAGGAATTTCCTGGCCTCGGCTCAAGCCAGAGAAGCCAGTTTTAAAGCCAGAGAAGCCAGTTTTAAACCAGAGAAGGAAGGAATTTCCTGGCCTCGGCTCAAGCCAGAGAAGCCAGTTTTAAAGCCAGAGAAGCCAGTTTTAAACCAGAGAAGGAAGGAATTTCCTGGCCTCGGCTCAAGCCAGAGAAGCCAGTTTTAAAGCCAGAGAAGCCAGTTTTAAACCAGAGAAGGAAGGAATTTCCTGGCCTCGGCTCAAGCCAGAGAAGCCAGTTTTAAAGCCAGAGAAGCCAGTTTTAAAGCCAGAGAAGCCAGTTTTAAACCAGAGAAGGAAGGAATTTCCTGGCCTCGGCTCAAGCCGGACAAGCCAGTTTTAAAGCGAGAGAAGCCAGTTTTAAACCAGAGAAGGAAGGAATTTCCTGGCCTCGGCTCAAGCCAGAAAAGCCAGTTTTAAAGCCAGAGAAGCCAGTTTTAAACCAGAGAAGGAAGGAATTTCCTGGCCTTGGCTCAAGCCAAAGAAGCCAATTTTAAAGCCAGAGAAACCAGTTTAAAACCAGAGAAAGAAGGAACTTCCTGGCCTTGGCTCAAGCCAGAGAAGCCAATTTTAAAGCCAGAGAAGCCAGTTTTAAATCAGAGAAGGAAGGAATTTCCTGGCCTCGGCTTAAGCCAGAGAAGCCAATTTTAAAGCCAGAGAAGCCAGTTTAAAACCAGAGAAGGAAGGAATTTCCTGGCCTCGGCCAGTTTTGAAAAGTTTTGAATTATTTTTCCTGTAAAAATTGGAATTGACTTTATAATCAAACCACCATCCAAAATGAGTTTTGAACTTTTTTTTTTTTTTGGATCAACCAAGCCTAGTGCTTAGCCCTTTTGCTGTCTGCAAACTGTTTGTACCTCTCCATAGTAGCCTATAGTTAAAAAAAAAAAAAAAGGTCCTGACACACTTTAACTGCCTGAAGTCTTAAGGCCTTCCAATCTTTCCAAGGAAGTTTCTTTTGGGGGAAAACTACAACTCCCACAACCCAGAGCAACCCCAAATGGCCTTCCAAAACATGTACAATTCCTTGTATGTTGTGTATCAGCCAACCTCAGTGCCTTAGACTTTCTGATATGCAGATTTGTCATACAAAGGCATGTGTCCTTCCTTTAACACCAGGACTCTTAAGACCCTCCATTCTTTCCAAGAAAGTTTTGCAGGGGAAAACTACAACTCCCACAATACAGGACAACCATAAAGACCATTTGATGCAAAATGCCCTTCCAAATCTTGTAAAATTCCTTGTATTTGTATGTTTTCGGCAACCGCAGTGCCTTGGACGTTCTTGTCAAAACAAGGAATGTTTAAATGCCTGGACTCTTAAGTCTCTCCAATTGTTCTTTTTGGGAGAAAACTACAACTCCCACCATCCAGAGCAAGCAGAAAGCTCATGCCATGGTTGCATCTAATGCCTCTCAGCTCTCCCAAAACCTGTATGAACCCTATTGTTTTTATGTTTCCGCGCCTTAGACTTTTGCTTTCCTGAGACCTTTTATTTCGTCCCTTGTTTTGATGTGTTTGGGAAATTTTGGTACATTATCATTAAAAGTAAAGAATTAAATGAACTGAATTAAATTAAATGAACTGACAGCCATAAAGAGAGGCACGGCTGCACATCCTCTCCTATCATTTTGTGTGATTTGTTTGAACACTTCCAGGTTGGGTTCAGTTGTAATATTTATAATGTAGGTTTTAAATTGTATGGGTTTTAATGTTGTGACTTGCGGAGAATCTGGTTTAAGCTGGCATGGGCAAACTTGGGCCCTCCTTGTGTTTTGGACTTCAACTCCCACAATTCCTCACAGCCTCAGGACATTTCTTTTTCCCCTCAGCCTCTTAATGAGAGGGAAAAAGAAAGGTCCTGAGGCTGTTAGGATTGTGGGAGTTGAAGTCCAAAACACATGGAGGGCCCAAGTTTGCCCATGTCTGGGTTTTAGAGAGGAAAGTGGGATATATTATATTTATTTAATATAATGCTAAAGCTACTACTACTACTAGTAATAACATAATGATTTAAATCAATAATAATAATTGAAAAGTGATTATAATAATTCATCAGAATAAGAATAAAATAACAAATGAAAGAAGAAATAAAGTTAAATAAAATAATAAAATAAAAAATGTGAGCTAAAAGAAGAAATAAAAACAAATAATACGACAAAATGAGAAATGAAAATTAAAATAATGTGAACATAACAAATAAAATTAGAAATCAAAACAAACGAAATAATAAAATGGGAAATAAAATAAGTAAATAAATGATAAAATAAAATAAATGAAAATAATGGGTTGTTGTAGTTTTTTTCGGGCTGTATGGCCATAGTCTAGAGGCATTCTCTCCTGACGTTTTGCCTGCATCTATGGCAAGCACTACCTCTGAGGATGCTTGCCATAGATGCAGGCGAAATGTCAGGAGAGAATGCCTCTATACCATAGCCATACAGCCCAAAAAAACCTACAACAACCCAGTGATTCCGGCCATGAAAACCTTCGACAATACAATGAAAATAATGTTAAAATAACCAAAAATGAGAAATGAAAATAGATGAAATAATAAAATAAAATGAGAAATAAAATAAATAAAATAGATAATAAAATAACAAATGAAAATTAAAATAACGTTAAAATAATTAAAGAAATGAGAAATGAAAATAAACAAAACAATAACATAAAATGAGAAAATGAAAAATAAAAAAGATAATAAAATAAGAAATGAAAATTAAAATAACGTTAAAAATGCATAAAATGAGAAATGAAAATAAATAAAATAACATAAAATGAGAAAATAAGAAATTAAAATAAAATGAAATAACAAATTAAAATAATATTGGAATAAATACAATAAATACAATAAATTAAAATAAAGTAATAAAAGGAAAAACGAGAATCATGTTAAAATCACAAATAAAAAATTAACAAATTGAAATTAAGAATAATATTAAAATAACAAATCAAAGACCAAATAAAAATAAATAAAATAAGACCACAAATATTAATTAAAATAATATTCAAATAACAAATACAATAAGAAACAAAAATAAATAAATTAAAATAAATTGCAAATAAAATAGCAATTTGGGGAAAGCAGTATAGTGTAGTATGTTTGTATGTTCAGGTAGGAGGCGTTACTTCGGATTTTGAAAAAGGGACCTTGTGCCAAATTCAGCCCAAATTGTCCACCCGCAACAACTTCATATTCTGAATGAAATGAAATAAATAATAATATTAAACTGACAAAATAAAAGTAATACTAAATAAAATAACAAATTGAAATAAAAACAATGTTAAAGTCGCAAATAAAAATGACAAAATTATTATGAAATTTTTGGTCGTGTCAGGAGTGACCTGAGAAACTGCAAGTCACTTCTGGTGTGAGAGAATTGGCCGTCTGCAAGGACGTTGCCCAGGGACGCCTGGATGATTTTTTGATGTTTTATCATCCTTGTGGGAGGCCTCTCTCATGTCCCCGCATGAGGAGCTGGAGCTGATAGAGGGAGCTCATCCGCCTCTCCCCGGATTTGAACCTGCGACCTGTCGGTCTTCAGTCCTGCTGGCACAGGGCTTTAACCCATTGCGCCACCCGGGGGCTCCATGAAATTAAATAAAAGTAAAACATAAAACAACATTGAAATAATATAAAATTTAAAAATAGAATTAATAATAATAATAATAATAATAATAATAATAATAATAATAATAATAATACCTGACCACGGTGGGCAGAACCTCACCGGCGAAGAGAACACTGAGGGCAGAGACGGCTTGAGAAGCCAGAAGTCCCAAGACGGAGAAGGACAGCACCAGCCAGGACTTCAGATCTGGAAAAGGGGGAGCAGAAGGAAGAGAGAGTTGGGGCGAAAAACAGGTCAACTGCCCCCCAAATAGTGTGTCACAGGAGCATGGCCTCGGCTTCTCCCCCTGAGAAGCCCAACCTCTCTTGGACTTACACTGGGTCAGGGCCAGCAGCAGCAGTGAGGAGACCCCGGTCAGGATGGTGCCAAAGAGCAGGGCAGCCCTGCGGCCAAAGCGGTCAACGGCCAGGCAGAGGAAGAGCAGGGCCAGGGCCTCACTCACGGCCGGCAAGAAGTAGGGGAAGTAGAAACGGGGGCCAAAAGGGGCCAGGTTGCGAGTGAAGGAGTGCCGGATCCCGCTCCCAATGAACCTGCAGAAGGGATACAGGGGTCAGCGCAGGCATGTAGCCGGGGGGGGGGGGGGCTTGAGGGGCTTCAGCCCCCCCCAAATTCTCATGGTGGTTCGCGAAAAGGCCTTACTGGTGCATTATTTAAACTGTTATGTTTATTCATATCATGATCTTATCACCATACTCAATATATCCCATATGCATGGGGGTATTGGGGTAATGATACAAAAGGTTTGCTAGGCTAGACCCTCTTTCACTCAGACTCACCCCCCCCCGCCAAACTCAGCCCCCCCCCCCGAATCAAAATCCTGGCTACGGGCCTGGGTCAGCGTTGAGGCCTTGAAGAGGTCACAAGGGCCAACATCTATCATCTTACATTGGTGAATGTGACCCCCCCCCCAATATATCATCTTAAACTGGCAAATGTCCTTCTTAACATAAAGAATGTTGCAAACATTTCTGTTATCACTGTCCCAGTTCTTATCAGAGTTTACTTTTCATTTCTTATTAGCAACTTTTAATTATAGTCCAGCAAGCAGGTTTAGTAACTGCAGGCCAGGCCCGTAGCCAGGATTTTGTTTCGGTGGGGGGGGGGGGGGGGGAATTTTTTTCAGGGGGGGTTTCGGGGGGGGGGGCTGAGTTTTGGGGGGCGGGGGGCTGAGTCTGAGTGAAAGAGGGTCTACCCTAGCAAACCTTTTGTATCATTACCCCAATACCCCCATGCATATGGGATATATTGAGTATGGTGATCAGATCATGATATGAATAAACATAACTTTAAATAATGCACCAGTAAGGCCTTTTCGCGAACCACCATGAGAATTTCGGGGGGGGGGGGGCTAAAGCCCCTCAAGCCCCCCCCCCCCCCGTCCACATGCCTGCTGCAGGCCTTAATATTATACTGGTGTTTACAAAATTATTAATTCCACTCATACAACTTCCATTCTTCCATTCATTCCCACACATCACTATTAAATCCACATTTATCAAATCTGCATATTAAATTTTTGTGACAACTCCATCTGCATGTTGGGTCTGTGTGCCAAGTTTGGTCCAGATCCATTACTGATGAGGTTCAGAGTGCACTGGGTGCAGGGTGAACTACAACTCCCATATGGGTGGGTCATTCATTCCCCAGCGCCTCCAATCTGTTCTGTTGGCCACCAGGGTTCTGTGTGCCATGTGAGTTCCAGAACTGCCATTGGGAGCTTCAGAATACTCTCTGGGTGCAAGGTGAACTACAACTCTCACTTGAGTGGGTTAGTCCTCCCTCAAACTCTTCCAGTATGTTGTATGGTCAGCAGGGTTCTGTGTGCCATGTTTGGTCCAGATCCGTCATTGATGGGGTTCTGAATGCAGGTTGAACTACAACTCCCATGCGGGTGGGTTGGTCCCCCCACAAACAATTCCAGTATGTTCTGTTGGTCATGGGGATTTGTGTTCCAAGTTTGGTTCAGGCCCATCATTCATGGGGTCTCAGTGGTCTGTGGAAGTAGGTGAAGATACTGCAAATCCCATCATCTGTGGTCTATCCTCCTCCAACCCTCGCCAGGACATAAAATACTTCATAGGGAGTCAGTGTGTCAAATTTGGACCAATGCATCATTTATTTGGGTCACATGGGTTTCTGGAAGTGAGTGAAGATACTGAAATTCCCATTATCCCTGGTCCATCCTCTACCAAAACTCAACACCACCTGAGCTCTGCGAGTGCAGCTTTTTTCTGAATGAAGCAGAGAGTGTTTGAGGAGCTATTGTCCTCCCAACCCTGCCAAATGCCTGCGAGACGTGGACTATCTACAGACATCATATGCAACTCCTGGAATGATTCCGTCAGTGCTTCCTCTGGAAAATCCTGCAAATCTCTTAGGAAGACAAGTGGACAAATGTCAGCGTGCTGGAAGAAGCAAAGAACACCAGCATTGAAGCGATGGTCCTCTGCCATCAACTCCGCTGGACCGGCCACATTGTCCGGATGCCCGACCACCGTCTCCCAAAGCAGTTGCTCTACTCCGAACTCAAGAATGGAAAACGGAATGTTGGAGGACAGGAAAAGATATTTTAAATGGGCTCAAAGCCAATCTTAAAAACTCTGGCATAGACACCGCGAACTGGGAAGCCCTGGCCGTTGAGTGCTCCAGCTGGAGGTCAGCTGTGACCAGCAGTGTTGTAGAATTTGAAGAGGCACGAATGGAGGGCAAAAGAGAGAAACATGCCAAGAGGAAGGTGCATCAAGCCAACCCCGAATGGGACTGCCTTCCACCTGGAAACTAATGCCCTCATGGCATGAGAAAATGCAGATCAAGAATAGGACTCCACAGTCACCTACGGACACACCACCAGTACACTGATCCTGGAAGACTATCCTAGTCAGACAACGAGTGATTGCCTAAGTAAGTCACTGTAACCTGAAATGTCCTTGGAGGGAGGGCTTTAGGTGGCTCCTCAGCACTGTTTGTGGAGACAGGGGACTGCCTGTGTAAGGGAATACCTCTACCACATTCACACATACAAATTACTACCACCACCACCACCACCACTACTACTAGAGAACAGCAAAGGGTTTCCCGCCCTTCCTGGGGGTTTTCTTACGTTGTGAATCCCAGGATGAGGCTGTTCTTCCACACGACCCGAGTGCAAAACACCTTCCAGATGCTGCTGTACTTGGGTTCCCCTTCAGACAGATTGTCCAATTCTATGGAGAAAACAAAACGGGCGTCACTTTGGCACAAAACACACAGGTGCTTTGGCTCAATTGAAACGGAGATTGCATCACAGCGGAGATTACATCACGCCATCTTTCCTTACGAAAGGGTCGAAGGGATGCCAAAAGGAAGCATCGTCGACAGGACATGGCACCAACCATCCAAGGGGAGAAACCTCACAATCACAAACATCTCCAAAGAGACACCATGATGGAGAGTGGCTTGCAGGAAACAGAAGCGCGTCTACATTGCCATGGCTCAATGCTATGGGATTTTGGGTGCTGTCGTTTTGCAAGGTCTTGAGCCTTCTCTAAGTGCATGTACACCGGAGAACGGGTGCGGTTTAACACCACTTGAACTGCAACGGCTCAATGCTGAATGTATTGGTTCTGGACATGCAGTAATTGGAAATGGAGGAAAGAAGAGATCATCGCAAAGCAAGGGATGCCGAAAGGTCATGTTGCGATGCCAGGGTCATCCTTTTGACCTTTGAGAGCCCACCTGCAAAGAGTTGCTCCTCTTCTATTTGGACCCCGTTGCTCTCGGCTAAGCTGCGCAGGGCTGCCTTGCCTTTCTCCGTTTGGTGGGTGGCCAGCAGCCAGCGGGCTGACTCTGGGAACAGCGATGGGCACCTGCACCAATAATGATCATGACAACAACTATAATGGTACCTTGCACAAAGAAAATGCGTCTCCTTCCCACCCAGCCCTTTCCTTGCATTTGCGCCAAGAGGAAGCCATGGGAAGAGGCCTGTTTGCCAGGCTGGGTTGGGCATGGCCCTTCCTCCTCCCCAAGTCCTTGAGCATCAAGGTGGTGGTGCTCCAGCAAAGAGGGTTTGTTTGCACAGCACCACTTGAGTGCCACTTTGGCCAAGGCCTCCCTCCTAAACGGCTGAGGAAGGGGACTGGTTGGCCAAGCGGCTCCTTTGTAATTGCAGTTTTGCTGCTGGGAAAACTGGCAGAGCAGCCTTGCAAGTCAAGGGCAGAAGGCAAGGGAGGGGGCACCCCCCCCCCCCAGGCACCCAGCTTGGCTTGGTGGTGCGTTCTGCTGTGCATTCGCTGCCTTGTTTCAACTGCACAACATTGCACTTCAAAGTGTGCGTAGCACAAGCAGTGACCAACTTCTCGTGCAAAGATTGGCAACACACAACACACAAACCTAAGGCATGGGTTTTCTTCCCCCCTTCTTTCTCCCTTCCTTTCTTTGCTCCTCTCTCTCTCTCTCCCTTCCTTCCTTCTTTCTCTCCTTCCCTCCTTCCTTTTCTTTCTTCTTTCTTCTCTCCTTCCTTCCCACCCTCCCTTCCTCCTTCCTCCCTCCTTCCTCTCCTTCTTCCTCCTTCCTTCTTCCTTCTCCTTCCTTCCTTACTTCCTTTTCTTCCTCCTTCCTTCCTCTTCTTGCCTCTTTGCTCATTTATTTATTTATTTCCTCCCTTCTTTCTTTGTATCTTCTTTAAAGAAAAATCAGTCTTCCTTCTCTGTTTCTTCTTTTTCTTCCTTTGCTCTTTGGTTCCATCTCCTTCCCCTTCCTTCCTTCCCTCCCTCCCTCTCTCTCTCTCTTTCTTTCCCTCCCTCTCTTTCTTTACCACCCTCCCTCCCTCCCTCCCTGGCTCCTTCCTTTCATTCCACCTTCTTTCCTTCTTCCTTTCTTCTTTTGCTCCTTCCTTCAACCCTCCCTCCCATCCTTCCTTCGCCCTTCTTTCCCTTCTTCTTTCTTTCTCTCCTTCCTTTCTTCCCTCTTTCTTCCTCCTTTTCTTCCTTCCTTTTTTATCTCCTTGCTTCCCACCCTCTCTTCCTTACCTCCTTCCCTCCTTTCTTTGCTCCTTCCATTCCCTCCTTTCTTCCCTCTCTCCTTCTTTCTTTCTTTTCTTTCCCTCCCTCCCTCCCTCCCACCTTCTTTCCTCCTTCCTTCTTTCCTTCTTTCGCTCTTCCCTCCCTTCCTTCCTTCCTTCCTTCCTTCCTTATTTTTCCCTCTCCTTCCATCCTTCCTTCCTTTGCCCCTTCCTTCCCTCCTTCCCTCCTTTGCTCCTTCCTTTCTTCTCTCCTTCCTTCCCACCCCCTTCCTTCCTTCCCTTTCTCCCTCCTTTCTTCTTTCCTCCTTTCCCTCCCTCCCTCATTTGCTTCTTCCTTTCTTCCCACCTTCTTCCCTCTTTTTGTCCTTCCTTCTTTTCCTCCTTCTTTCCTTCTCCAATATGAAGGCCCTTACAGCTGGAGCATTCCCCTCCCAAGTGTATGGTAGAAATTCCAAGACAACATGGCTGAGGGTTTTTGCTTGAGGTGAAGATGGCACAGCGCATTGATTTTGTCAGTGCTGCTTGCCATGCTTCCCATCCATGGTGTCCTAGGGCCCGAGAGTGAGAAGAGACTCCAAGAGTCATCCAGTCCAATTCCTTCTGCCAGCCAGGGAAGGCACAACTCAAGACCTCCCGGCAGATGCCCATCCAGCCTCCGATTAAAAGGACTGCAGGATGACATGCTTCCAAAGCCTGGGGTCTTTTCCACCTCTACCTATTGGGATCCCCGGGGTTTTGGGGGCCAAACTCACCACCAGCAGAGTGCCATCAGGGCCAGGGTCAGTGTTATTGCCGCTTGCAGGAGGCGCCATTCCTTGCAGGCCACGGCCAGACCGGGCAGGAGCAGCTCTCCGGCCACCCAGAAGAAGCTGGACAACATGGTGACCGTCAGCCGGTGCGGAGGCCCACACAGCTCCAGCCCTGAGCAAGAAGCAGACGGGAAGCCTCAAAGCCTCCGGGCAAAGACACCCAAAGCTATTACACTTTCCCCCCATGTTTTACAAATGGAAACAACAGAGGTGCAACAACTCTGCAAATAGCACTCAGGGATAGAACCCTATAGTTAGAAGGGACCCCCAAAGGCCAGCTAGTCCAACCCTATTCTATCAGGCAGGAAGGCACAATCTGATCCCTCCTGACAGATGGCTATCCAGACTCATAGACATTAAAAGCTTCATAGAGAATAAGGCTATAGCATCATAGAATCCTAGAGTGGGAAGGGATCCCTAAAGGCCACTCAACCCAACCCCCTTCTGACAGACAAGAAGGCACCATCTGATTTCTCCTAACATCCAGCCTCTTGTTAAAAGACTTCCTTAGAATCCTAGAGTTGGAAGAGACCCCCAAATGTCATCCAGTCCAACCCTATTCTATCAGGCAGAAAGACACATCAACAGATAGCCATCCAGCCTCATAGACATTAGAAGCTTCATGGCACAATAAAGCTATAGAACAGCCTGGGCAAACGTTCTAACTTGAGGGCCGCATTCTAGCATTCCCAGCTAGGAGGACTGGCTGCCTGGTGATGGAAGGGAGGGAGGGAGGGGAGGAAGGAGGAAGGAAAGAGAGAAGGAAGGAAGGGAGGGAGGGAGGGAGGAGGGAAGAAGGGAAGAAGAAAGAGGGAGGGAGGGAGGGAAGGAAGAGAAGGAAAAGGAGAGAGGAGAGAGGAGGATGAATGAATGGATGGAAGGAGGGAAGAGGGAAGGATGGAAAAAAAGAAGAGAGGAAGGAAAGGAAAGGACAAGGAAGGAAAGAAAGGAAGGAAGGAAGGAAGGAAGGAAGGGAGAAAAAGGGAAGAGAGGGAAGGAAGGAAGAGAAAAGGGAGGGGAGGAAGGGAAGGAAGGAAGGAAAGAGGGAGGAGGGAAGGAGGAGAAAAGAGGGAAAGAGAAAGACAAAAAGGGAAAGGAAAGGAAGAAGGAAGAGGGAAGGGAAGGATGAGAAGGAAAAGAGGGAGGAGGAAGGAGGGAGAAAAAGAGGGAAGGAAGGAAAGACAAAAAGGAAGGAAGGAATGATGAAAGGATGGAAGGAAAGGATGGAAGGATAAAGAGGGAGGGAGGGAGGGAGGGAGAAAAGAGGGGGGAAAGGAAAGACAAAAAGGAAGGAAGGAATGATGAAAGGATGGAAGGGAAGGATGGAAGGCGAAAGAGGGAGAGAGAGAAGGAGGGAGAAAAGAGGGAAGGAAGGAAAGACAAAAAGGAAAGAAGGAAGGATGAAAGGGTGGAAGGAAAGGGAAAATATAAGGGAGGAAGAGAAGGATGGAAAGAAGGCAGGGAATGATAAAGGAAAGAGAGAAGGAAGGGAAGATAAAAGGGAAGGAAGAAAGGAGAGAGGGGGAAAGAGGGAAGGAAGGAAGGACGATGGAAGGGGAAAGACAGAGGGAAGTAAGGAGGAAAAAAGGAGAGAAGGAAGGAAAGACAAAAGGGAAGGAGAGAGGGAGGAAAGAGGGAAGGAAGGAAGGTTTTTGTTTTTTTTAATCGTGTCAGGAGCAACAAGTTGCTTCTGTTGTGAGAGAATTGGCCGTATGCAAGGATGTTGCCCAGGGGACGCCCGGATGATTTGATGGTTTTATCATCCTTGTGGGAGGCTTCTCTCATGTCCCCGCATGAGGAGCTGGAGCTGACAGAGGGAGCTCATCCGCCTCTCCCCGGATTTGAACCTGCAACATGTCGGTCTTCAGTCCTGCCGGCACAGGGGTTTAACCCACTGCGCCACCGGGGGCTCCTTAGGAAGGTTGATGGAAGAGGAAAGAGGAAGGGAGGTAAGGAGTAAGGAAGGAGAGAAGGAAGAAAAGACAAAAGAGAGAAGGAGGAAGGAGAGAGAAGGAAGGAAGGATGAAAGGGAAGGAAGTAAGGAGAAAGGGAGAGGGAAAGAGAGAAGGAAGGGAGGATAGGACAGTGAGAGAGAGGAAGGCCTGAGAAAAGAGCCCAAGGAACCACATCTGGCCCCTGGACCTGGTTTTGCCCATAACTGCTACAGAATCAGAGATTCCTAAAGTTGGAAGGGACCCCAAGGGTCATCCAGCCCACTCTCTCTCTGCCGAGCAGGCTGCATCACGCTCTTGTCTCATGTTCAATCATATATTTTTACTATTGTCAAGCCATGGCTCTTATTAGTTTCTTCCATCCAGACTCCTTTGGATGCAGCCTAGAATCGCACTGGCCATTTTAGCTGCCGCATCACATTCTTGGGGTGGTACTCACTGGCAACATAGAGAGAGAGGAAGGCGCCGGCCAAGGTTGCCCCAAAGAGCAGGTGAATGAGAGCAAACATGGCGTAACTTGTGGCCAAAGAGACCGCGAAGCCCAGCGGGACAGAGAGAATGAAGGAGGTGACGAAGGCGGTCCGGCGTCCGAACCTAATGGATCGGGAGGGAGGAAAAATCAGAAATGGCATTCTGGCCCTTTAAGAGTCAAATTGCATTTAATCTACAGGCATTGGTCAACTTTGACCCTCCCTCCAGGTCTTTTGGACTTCAACTCCCACAATTCCTAACAGCCTACTGGCTGTTAGGAATTGTGGGAGTTGAAGTCCAAAACACCTAGAGGGAGGGCCAAAGTTGGCCCATGCCTGGCATAGACACATCCATCAAAGCATTTCCTACCTGTCGCAGGTTGAACCAAAGCTCAGGTAGCCAAGGATCCACCCCAGGAGGAAGGTGGCTTGTTCCAAGGGGACCTTCCAGTGGTCGGAGCAGACCAAGCCCCACTGCAAAATGGGGGAGAGAAGGAGGAAATGGTGAGGGTCCAGAAGGGAGGCAAGCAGGTGCTAGTTGGTTATTCCCAAATCCAAGGTGGAAATTTCCAGGTATGATTGCACTGCAACTCCCAGCAGCCCTTAGGCAGCGGTAAGAGGTGCTGAGAATTGTAGTCCTATTATAATGATTTGTTGATCTCTCAATTTTCTGAGCTGCTGACCGAAAAGTCGTAGGTTTGAATACGGTGAGCAGGGGTGAGCTCCCACTGTTAGCCCCAGCTTCTTCCAACCTAGCCGTTCAAAAAAATACAAATGTAAGTAACTCAATAGGTACCGCCTCAGCGGAAAGGTAATGCAGTCATGCTGGCCACATGACCTTGGAGTTGTCTATGGACAACGCCTGCTCACCCCTCTCTTCAGATTTGAACCTGCGACCTTTCAATCAGCAAGTCCAGCAGCTCAGTGGTTTAGCCCACTGTGCCACCAGGGGCTCTCTCTCTCTCTATACACACACACATATATATAAATACAGTATTATATATATCTAATGAATATATATATATATATATATATATATAATACAGATGGATAGATTATATATATACACACTCACACACATATATAATTAGTATTATTATTAATGTTACTACTAATATACTATTACTAATAATAATAACAATCTTTTTCTCTCTTCAAAGAGACTCAAAGCAGCTAACAGCACAACAAACATGTGCTCCTGATGACAACTCCCAGCATCCCCAGTCCCACTTCTCCTTCTACTGATTTAAACCTGCATTGTTATTATTGTGATCATTTTCACCATCAAATGTTTTTATTTATATCATGCTTCTCTTAAACGTGACTCAATGCAGCTCCCAACACTCACTGATATTATTTGTATTGCGCTTCTCTTATGGGAGTCAATTTATTGATTGATTGATTGACTGATTGATTGTATTTGTATTCTGTTTCTCTTCTCTTAAGGGAGACTAAAAGTGGTTCCTCATTCATTCATTGATGGATAGATAGAATTGTATTCTTCCCTTTTTGTCATGGAAGGAGTCTTGATTGATTGATTGATTGATTGTATTGGTATCCTGCTTCTCTTCTCTTAAAGGGGACACAACACAGCTCCCAACTGATTGATTGATTGATTTGTATCCTGCTTCTCTTCTCTTAAAGGGGACTCAAAGTGGCTTCCAAGACATTGATAGCATTTGCATTGCACTTCTGTCCTCTTAAAGGAGAATCAAAGTGGTTTCTAATGCATTGATTGATTGATAGTATTGGTATCCTGCTTCTCTTCTCTTAAAGGAGACTCAAAGAGGCTCTTAATTGATTGACTGACTGATTGACTGACAGCATTTGTATTGCGATTCTCTTTCCCTGGGGTGGCACAGCAGGATAAATCACTGAGCTGCTCAACTTGCTAACCGAAAGGTCAGCAGTTTGAATCCTGGGAGTTGAGTGAGCTCCCACTGTTAGCCCCAGCTTCTGCTAAGTTTGAAAACATGCAAGTATGAGTAGATCAATCAGTACCGTTGGGGTGGGGAGGCAACAGTGTTCAATAATAATAATAATAATAATAATAATAATAATAATAATAATAATAATAAATCACACAGTCCTAGACACTTGAGAAGTGTTTGACGTGATTTTGTGATATGAAATCCAGCATATAGATCTCGTTTGCTGTGACATACTGTGATTTTGTGTCAATAATAATAATAATAATAATAATAATAAATTGTTGAAGGCTTTCATGGCCGGAATCACTGGGTTGTTGTAGGTTTTTTCGGGCTGTATGGCCATGGTCTAGAGGCATTCTCTCCTGACATTTCGCCTGAGGATGCTTGCCATAGATGCAGGTGAAACATCAGGAGAGAATGCCTCTAGACCATGGCCATACATAAGGTTCTTGTGTGTTTTTTCGGGCTATAGGGCCATGTTCTAGAGGCATTTCTCCTGACGTTTCGCCTGCATCTATGGCAAGCATCCTCAGAGGTAGTGAGGTCTGTTGGAATTAGGACAATGGGTTTATATATCTGTGGAATGGCTGGGGTGGGGCAAGGAGCTCTTCTTTCATGGCCATACAGCCTGAAAAAACCTACAACAACCCAATAATAATAATCTTTATTTATACCCCGCCACCATCTCCCCAAAGGGGACTTGGAGCGGCTTATATGAGGCCAATCCCAGCGATGCATTATGGCAACATAAAATATAAACAACAAAACATTAGAATAAAATAAATAAACCAATCAAGTAAAATAAACAGTCCAAAATAACATAATAGAAAGGAAAGGCTGGTATGACTCCATGCAGGCATGCCGGCCACATGACCGTGGAGGTGTCTGCAGACAATGCTGGCTCCTTGGCTTAGAAAGGGAAGGAAGCACCAGAGTTCCAAAGTCGACTTGTCTCAATTTATTTTTATTTATCGTGTCAGTACAACCAGTCGATTATATTACATTTCTAACAGAACAAAGCAAAGCAAAAAAAAAAAAAACAGACAAAATACGAAAATTGTGAGTTTGGTAGTTGATTAAATGTCCTGTGACCAGTATCTGGCCACTTGGAGTGCCTCCGGTGTTGCTGCAAGAAGGTTCTCCATTGTGCATGTGGCAGGGCTCAGGTTGCATTGCAGCAGGTGGTCAGTGGTTTGCTCTTCTCCACACTCGCATGTCGTGGATTCCACTTTGTAGCCCCATTTCTTGAGGTTGGCTCTGCATCTGGTGGTGCCAGAGCGCAGTCTGTTCAGTGCCTTCCAAGTCGCCCAGTCCTCTGTGTGCCCAGGGGGGAGTCTCTCATTTGGTATCAGCCATTGGTTGAGATTCTGGGTTTGAGCCTGCCACTTTTGGACTCTCACTTTCTGAGGTGTTCCAGCGAGTGTCTCTGTAGATCTTAGAAAACTATTTCTAGATTTCAGTCGTTGACATGCTGGTTGATACCTAAACAAGGGATGAGCTGGAGATGTCGCTGCCTTGGTCCTTTCACTATTGGCTGCTATTTCCCGGCGGATGTCAAGTGGTGCAATACCGGCTAAGCAGTGTAATTTCTCCAGTGGTGTAGGGCGCAGACACCCCGTGATAATGCGTCATGTCGCATTAAGAGCCACATCCACTGTTTTAGCGTGGTGAGATGTGTTCCACACTGGGTATGCGTGCTCAGCAGTAGAGTAGCACAGTGCAAGGGCAGATGTCTTCACTGTGTCTGGTTGTGATCCCCAGGTTGTGCCAGTCAGCTTTCGTATGATATTGTTTCTAGCACCCACTTTTTGCTTGATGTTCAGGCAGGTGCTCTTACTGCCTATTACAGGGAAAAACGGCTGATTCCTAATCCATCTAAAACACAGACATGTGCCTTTCATCTCAAGAACAGACAAGCATCCTGAGCTCTGAGGATGACCTGGGAAGGAATCCCACTGGAGCATAGCAGCACACCCAAATACCTGGGAGTCACTCTGGACCGTGCTCTGACCTACAAGAAGCACTTGTCTCAATGTCAAGGGGAAACTTTTTCCCTTTCCCTAATCCTTAATGGCTTTCCCTAAGGTAAAAACTAACCCTGCTCTAAGGAGACTGGCGGGGGCTCCCTGCACTCGCTCCAGGTTGCTTTGGAGGCGCTCTGCACATGCTCAGGGGCCCGGGACTCACCTGGGTGACGACGGTGGTGCGGAGGGGCAAGGTGGGGGCCCCTGTTGGGGGGCAAGGAGAATCCCGGCTGGCGTTGGAAGGGCCCCCCCCTCCTCCTCCTCCTCCTCCTCCTGCCTGGAAGGGGCAGGAGGGGTGGCGGGAGGCGTTGTGGGCGCCTTGGGGGCGGCAGGCGAGGGGCGGGGGGGCCAGGAGGGCGAGCAGGAGGAGCCCCCCGGCGAAGAAGGCGGCGGAGAGGGGCGCCAGGGGCAGCCCAGTGGCCAGGGCCAGGCGGAGGGGGGGCCGCCCAGAGACCCCTCCCCAGGGGGAAAGCAGGAGGGCTTCCAAGGGCATCGCCGGGGGGAAAGAAGGGAGGGAAGGGAAAGGAAGGGAAGGGAAGGAGGAAAAGTTGGAGAAGGAAGAAAAGTCAGAGAAGGAGGGGAAAGGAGCCGCTTCAGACGCCGCCGCCTCCTTCTCTTCTGTGTGAGGGAGGAAGGAAGGAAGGAAGGAAGGAACGCCCTGCAAAGAAGGATGGAAGAAAAGGCGCCCAGGTGGAGAAGGGAGGAAGGGAGAAGTGAAAGGAGGAAGGGAAGGAAGGAAGGAAGGAAAAGAAAAAGGGAGGAAGGGGAAGGGAAGGAAGGGCGCCAGGTGGAGAAGGGAGGAAGGTAGGAAGGAAGGAAGGAAGGGAAGGGGAGGGAAGGAAGGACGGAGGGAAGGAAGGAGGGAGGGAAGGGAAGAAAGGAAGGAAGGAAGGGAGGGAGGGAGGGAGGGAGGGGGGAAGGAAGGAAGGGAAGAAAGGGAAGGAAAGGGAAGGAGAGGAGGAAGGGAAGGAAGGAAAAGAAAAAGGGAAGGAGAAAGGGAAGGAAGGAAAGAGAAGGAAGGAAAAGGGACGGGAAGGAGAAAGGGAAGGAAGGAAAGTGAGAGAAGGAAGGAAAGAAAGGGAAGGAGAAAGGAAAGAAGGGAAGGGAAAGGAAAGGGGAAAGAAGGAAAGGAAAAAAATGAGAAGGGAGGGAGGCAAGAGAAGAAAAAAAAGGGGGGGAGGAAGGAAAGAGGGGAAAGAAGGAAAGAAGAAAAGGGAAAAAAAGGGAGGAAAAGAAAGGGGGAAAGTGAATTAAGAAAGAAGGGAAGAAAAAATGAGAAGGATGGAAAGGAAAAAGGGAAGGAACAGAGAATGGAAGGACAGGAAAGGGAAAAGGGAGGGAAGAAAGGAAAGCAAAAGAGGAAAAGAAAAAAAGGGAAGGCAGGAAGGAAGGAAGGGAAGAAGAAGGAAAGAGAAGGAAGGAAGGGAAGGAAAGAAGAAGGGAAGAGGGAAAAAGGGAAGGAAAGGAAAGAAAAGGAGGGAAAGAAAAAAGAAGGAAGGGAAGAAAAGAAGGAAGAAAACAAAAAAGGAAAGGAAGGAAGGAAGGAAGGAAGGAAGGAAGGAAGGGAAGGAAAGGAAGGAAGGAAAGGAGAAAGGAGAGGAGGAAAAGGGGGAAGGGAGGAGAAGAAGGGAAGGAAGGGAGGGAAAAAGAAGGAAGGAAGAGAAAGGGAAAGGAAAAGAGGAAAAGAAAAAAGAAGAGAAGGAAGTAAAAAGGGAAGAAGGAAGGAAAAGAAAATGGGAAGAAGGAAGGAAAGAGAAAGGAATGAGAGGCAGGGAAGGGAAAAGAGAAATAGAAGGGAAGGAAGGAAATATATATCTATAATGCATAATATATGTGTCTCATAAACTTTCACAGAGGGACTACAGCAAGCCTGGGCCAACTTCAGCCCTTTGGGTGTTTTAGACTTCAACTCCCATCATTCCTAACAGCACTTAGCTTAAGCGACTGAGTGGGAAAAGGGAAAGGGCCTGGGGCTGTTAGGAATTGTGGGAGTCGAAGTCCAAAACACCTGGAAGGAGGGTTGAAGTTGGCCCAAGCCTGCCGTAGAGGAAACTTCCTTGCACTCCTTGGTTATGGGCCCAGCACTCAGCTTAAGCGACTGAGGGGGGAAAGGAAAGGGCCTGAGGCTGTTAGGAATGGTGGGAGTTGAAGGCCTGATTCAGGTGGAGATGAAGAAAGAGGCTGGACCAGAACAACTTTCCCTTTCCTCCTCCGCTTTGCTTCCCATCTCCCCAAAGGAGCCCTGCCCAGGTGAGGCAACACACCTATTGCATAGCAAGAGAGGCCAAGCTCTGGAGCAGCTCACCTTTGCCCCATTTCAATTGCTTCGTCGTCCCTTTGAAGCTCCTAAAAGGGGGCCCAAAAACAAGATATTTCAATGTCCCTTCTAAGCAAAGGCAAGGAGAACACAGAAGGTTAAAAAAAAGGGGGAAATTTGGTACAACTCCTTCTTTTCTTTTCTTTTTTCTTTTCTTTTGTTTTGGCTTTTGGATGTGAAACCGGATCCGGCAGTTTTGCAAAAGTGGCCTTCAGGTTGTGCTCCTGTGGCTTGCCTCTCTTGCAAAACTGCTTTCTGCACCAGGAGCCTCCTTCCTCTCTCCCGCTTCCTCATTGCAAAGAAGGCACACTTTCACAATCTGGGCCTCCCAAGCCAGACGGAACAAACCTCCCCTGGGTGCATCTACACTGTAGGACAGTCCTTCTCAACAGGAATTGCATGGTTATTGGAAGGCAACTTTGTTATGCCACATTATTATTATTATTATTATTATTACTTGAAACACAACAAGATGAGTCCATAGCAGACACTCTGCTGGCTGTTGTATTGGATCACGCGTCGGACACTTCCCAAGTGTCTAGGACTGTGTGATGTATCGGCGAATGATGCATGCAGATCCCAGTAAGGTGGCCTTTTGCAACTGGCAGATGGTAATTTTGTCAGTGCAGATTGTTTTTAAGTGCAGGCCAAGATCTTCAGGCACTGCACCCAGTGTGCCAATCACCACTGGGACCACCTTGACTGGTTTGTGCCAGAGTTGTCTTCTTCTTCTTCTTCTTCTTCTTCTTCTTCTTCTTCTTCTTCTTCTTCTTCTTCTTCTTCTTCTTCTTCCTCCTCCCCCCTCCTCCTCCTCCTTCTTCCCCCCTTCTTTTTCTTCTTCTTCCTCCACCCTCCTCCTCCTCCTCCTTCTTCCCTGAATTTGAATGCATACTCAACCTTGGGAAACCCATTGGCCAACCTTGGGCAAGTCACACTCTCACAGCCTCAGAGGAGAGCAAAAATATTAAAAACAACCCCCCCCCCTCTGAATAAATCTTGTAGGATTTCTTGCTTTAAGTGAAAGTTGCATTGAAGGAATATAATATAATATACGATTTGCATCTCAGTTGGAGAGATACCGCAAGGAGAGGTGGGTAATAAAATTATATTATTATTAATAATAATATTTATTTATTTACGACATTTATATGCCGCCCTTCTTAACCCGAAGGGGACTCAGAGTGGCTTACAAGATATATATATGTATGTATATATATGTGTGTGTGTGTGTGTGTGTGTGTGTGTATATATATATATATATATATATATATATACATACAATATATTATATTATTAGCATAGCACAATATCAGTATTATATATTACTATAGTGTACTATACCATTATATTGTAATATTATTAGTAATATTACATATAAAATATATATTTTAATATCATATTACTATTATTATATTGTATTACATTAGAATATTATAAATATTATATGTATATACAATATATTGTTACATTATATTATATTATTAGCATAGTACAATATCAGTATTATATATGACTATAGTGTTCTATACCATTATATTGTAATATTATTAGTAATATTACATGTAATATAAAATATATAATTATAATACCATATTATTATTAGTATTATATTGCATTATATTATAATATTATAAATATGATATGTATATACAATATATTATATTGCATATTATATTATTAGCATAGTACAATATCAGTATTATATACTACTATAGTGTACTATACCATTATATTGTAATATTATTAGTAATATTACATATAAAACATATAATTTTAATATCATATTATTAGTTTTATATTGTATTACATTATAATATTATAAATATTACATGTATATACAATATATTATATTATGTTATATTATATTATTGGCATAGTACAATATCAGTATTATATATTACTATAGTGTACTATACCATTATATTGTAATATTATTAGTAATATTACATATAAAATATATAATTATAATACCATATTATTATTATATTGTATTATATTATAATATTATAAATATTACATGTATATACAATATATTATATTATATTATTGGCATAGTACAATATCAGTATTATATATTACTATAGTGTACTATACAATTTTATTGTAATATTATTAGTAGTATTATAAATATTATATGTATATACAATATATTAAATTACATTACTTACTTACTTAGGCGATCCCTCGTTGGACGAGTAAGATGGTCTTCCATTATGGATTTCCCTGTGGGTCCGTATGTGGCTGTGGAGATGCATTCTTGCTCTGCATCTTCTTCCGCAGTGAGGGCATTGGTTTCCAGGTGGAAGGCGGTCCCGGTCGGGGTTGGCTTGACACGCCTTCCTCCTGGCACGTTTCTCTCTTTCACCCTCCACTCGTGCCTCCTCAAATTCTGCAGCACTGCTGGTCACAGCTGTCCTCCAGCTGGAGCGCTCAAGGGCCAGGGCTTCCCAGTTCTCAGTGTCTATGCCAGAGTTTTTAAGGTTGGCTTTGAGCCCATCTTTAAATCTCTTTTCCTGTCCACCAACGTTCCGTTTTCCGTTCTTAAGTTCGGAGTAGAGCAACTGCTTTGGGAGACGGTGGTCAGGCATCCGGACAACGTGGCCGGCCCAGCGGAGTTGATGTTGGAGGACAATCGCTTCAATGCTGGTGGTCTTTGCTTCTTCCAGCACACTGACGTTTGTCCGCCTGTCTTCCCAGGAGATTTGCAGGATTTTCCGGAGGCAGCGCTGATGGAATCGTTCCAGGAGTTGCATGTGACGTCTGTAGACAGTCCACGTTTCACAGGCATATAGCAGGGTTGGGAGGACAATAGCTTTATAGACAAGCACCTTGGTCTCCCTACGGATGTCCCGGTCCTCAAACACTCTCTGCTTCATTCTGGAAAATGCTGCACTTGCAGAGCTCAGGCGGTGTTGTATTTCGGCGTCGATGTTGACTTTGGTGGAGAGGTGGCTGCCAAGGTAGCGGAAATGATCAACATTTTCTAATGTTACACCATTAAGCTGTATCACTGGCATTGGAGAGGGGTTGTCTGGTGCCTCCTGGAAAAGCACCTTGGTTTTTTCAATGTTCAATGACAGGCCGAGCTTCTCGTATGCTTCTGCGAAGGTGTTTAGAGTGGCTTGTAGATCTTCTTCTGAATGCGCACAGACGACATTGTCATTAGCATACTGGAGTTCTATAACAGATGTTGTTGTAACCTTGGTTTTGGCTTTCAGTCTGCTGAGGTTGAATAGCTTGCCATCTGTCCGATAGATTATTTCCACTCCGGTGG